ATTGTGACGTCTGCAATCTGTGTAAAAAAGTCGAGAAAATCAACCGTGTACCTCAACCAAAATCCTTGATTAAATTAGAGTTAATACACAGTGATACATGGGGTAAATGCCGAGCTCCTGGAATTTTTGGAAGTCTTTATTTTGTCACATTTACTGATGACTGTTCTCGCGAGGTTATGCTTTATCTAATGAAAAGCAAGTCCGACGTTCCCCACTATTTCCGAGATTACAAGGAGAAAAAGGAACTCCAGACAGGTGAGAAAATAAAGGCAATGCGTTTCGATGGTGGTACGGAGTACAAGACTATTGGTTTTGCTGGTATTTCGAAGCAGATCTGCGCGCCTTATACTCAACATCAGAATGGAGTATCTGAAAGATTAAATAGGACATTAGTCACAATGGCCAGGTGCATGCTTTCTCATGCTCGACTTCCCCTTCGTTTTTGGGATGCAGCTGTTCTTACGGCATGCTACTTGCGCAATAGGCTCCCTATCCACCAGAATAAGTTGACGCCGTTTGAAGCTATGAACGGTCATCAGCCTAATATATCTCACTTGAAAGTCTGGGGTTGCGTATGTTATGCGCTTATTGACAAAAAAGATCCTCAGCGATATAAATTGAAGGAGACATCCCTGAAAGGCATTTTCGTGGGTTATTGTGAATCAGCAACACAATACCGAGTCTATATTCCCTCGAAACCAGGAAGAGATAAGACAATAATTTCTGCAAACGTACAGTTTTTAGAAGAGTCTTTCTGGGAGTGGGGTGAACCTTCACACCAAACAATTTCTGGAGAAATCCTACCATTGGATGATGACTTAACTCTTACTCCCGAAACTAACACTGATACAGGCACTGAATCGGAGCTAGAGATGGATACATCTGATACACAGAGAATTACCCATCAATTCCAAGTAAGTCCAACCAGAAATACATCTATTGAGGCAGGAGAGGAACCAGAAAGAGACGGAAATATATTTGCACCGACTGATAGCTTATCAGCTGCCGATGAAAGCGAAAATGTGGATGTAACAAATCCTCCAGGTCCATCTAAAACTCAGGATGTCTCTAATACCCCAGAAGCTCCCCTGGAACCTAACCTTCGGAGGAGTTCACGCTTACGAAATCCAATCGAGCCTAGGTCTGATCGGCAGCCGAGGCCTCATGCTCTGCATGTAGGAAAAGGTAGCCCTATCCCTGGAAGCTTTCGGGATGCTTCAAATGGACCAGATAAAACTAAGTGGAAAGCCGCGATCGTTGAAGAGCTTAAATCATTGAAAGAAAAAGAGGTATTTAAGCCCATAACTCACGTCCCTCGTGGAAAGAAGATCGTTGGCTCTAGATGGATCTTTACAGTTAAGTCTGATGGAAGATACAAAGCTCGCTTGGTTGCAAAGGGCTTTAGCCAGATCCATGGAATCAATTACTTCGACACATATTCCCCGACCTTGCGAATGGACTCTTTAAGGATACTTCTTGCCGTTAGCGCCTACTACGATTGGGAAATTCATCAAATTGATGTTAGGACGGCCTATCTTGAAGGAGACTTAGAGGAGGATGTGTACATGAAATGTCCGGAGGGAATTTAAGGCACTAACTATGTCAAGGTCGATAAAGCCCTATACGGATTAAAACAGTCTGGACGGGCATGGTACAAGAAACTGGACGCAAAACTTTCTTAGATAAAGTTCAAGAGATCAGTAAGTGACCAATGTATTTACATACATCCGGAACTACAGATAGTAATTGGCGTGTACGTTGACGATCTTGTCGTATGTGGTAAGGTTCTCAGTCAAGTTGTCAGGGCAAAACAACAGCTCTCGTCGTATTTCCCGATCAAAGACTTAGGGGAACTAGATGTTATCATTGGCTGGAAAATCACTCGAGAAAGATCAACAAGGACATTACAAATCTCCCAAGCTCATTACATAGCTGAAAAGATAGAATCCTTCGGTCTACAGCAGGCGAGGGAATACACTTCTCCTCTGGATGGCTACGATGGGATTCTACCAGGCCGTGAGGATGAGTCCCCTGCAGATGAATCAGCTTACGCCAGTGCGGTTGGAAGCTTAGGGTATGCGTCACACAGCACCAGACCAGACATATCTTTCGCAGTCTCACAATTAGGAAAATATAATTCCTGCCCTGTGATAAGACATTGGAACACTGTTTGTAGGGTGTTCAGATATCTCAAAGGTTCTTCCGACTTCTCTATAACCTATTGTTTTGGTCCTTCCTCACCCGAAAATCTTAAATCACACGAAGTACTCATGTATTCTGATTCTGATTACGCTGGGGATGTTGTAACACGTCGCTCAGTCAGTGGCTATGTCGTGATGCTTGGAGGTGGTCCTGTATGCTGGCAGTCGAAGCAACAAAAGTCAGTTTCTACCTCAACAGCTGAAGCAGAATATATCGCCCTGTCAGAGGCAGCCAAACAAGCTGTGTGGGTGATTCGTCTTCTTAGGGAACTTCACGTTGGAAATGCACTTATGAGCGATGATGGTCTATTAACTCTAAGTGATAATCAGAGTGCACTGTCAATTGCCGGAGGAACAAACTCTGCTGAGACCAAACACATCGACGTCGCATACCATTTTATTAGGGAATGTATTGAAGATAAAAAGATCAGAGTAAAGTATATTCCCACTAACATGATGTTGGCCGATTTATTGACCAAACCACTGCCTCAATCGAAGGCAAAGCCTTTGTGCTGTCAATTGTTCCAGCTTGTGTAGATTTATCCGGCAAACTAACTGCTCAGGAGGAGTGTTGGAATTTCGCACCAGTTGCTTACTCTAGAGCTACACAATTGTCGGTGATGATCGGCAAGGCTGCTTAGGAATAACTTGGCGCACAATTGCACTAGACTGAAATTGGTTTTAGCGTCAGACAAAGAACACGAGTAATATGTAGAAACCTAGATGTAGTAATTCTTTAATATTCTGACCAAAAAAAAAGATAATATAATATAATAAGAACGATTTACGTGAATAATTTATTTGATTGAACTATTACGAAGTACTTTGAAGCTGTGCCTATATTCTTTGAGTGAGTTTCCTCTTAGAACCCATACACACTTTACAACAATAAATCATGAGCTCAATAAGCAAATAATTTAGTGAAGAAAAAAGAATAGAAATAAACTAAAGAAATAATCATTGGTTTTGAGTCAGCATTCCTCATCCTGAGCTCCCTCCGCCAGCGTATTTGGCCTGGCATTTATCCCAAACCCCGTCGTTGCATTCAGCACAGAGTTAGGATGCGTCCAGTCTACCTAAGCAGCCTATAACCCATGCAAAATTTTTAAACTTCTCTAACCCTTTATGTCCGTGAAGTTGCCTAGTAAAAGCATCTAAGCTCATGTCTTTTCTAAGTTTATGCGTCAGATTATTGTATCTCCGACAGCGCATAAAGGGGGTGGGCGTTTTTTCTATCCCACAGCTACAAACCAGGTTTGCATCTTCGTGCTTGAAGCGACGATCATACGCCGCAAATTGCCCATGCCCTGTTCTCGTAGTAATGAGTTCGTGTAGTAATATCCGTGGCGACGATAGTTCTGGGGGTTTACGTCGTCGCTTTGCAGGTCCAAGTCTTGGTATCGAGCTGTACAAGTAGTTTACCACCATTTGTCTATCAATTCTTGTCGTCGCCTTTGCGTGAGACGCCGAAGGTAAGCAAGACTGATATAGCTGGGTTGTTTCTGGCTGTCCGGAAGTAACTTTAGTGCGGCCCGAGTTTCTTTGTCTGTCTCCACATTCCCCTACATGTTCGAGTGTCCTGGGACTCATCTAATTTCTACGTTAGATCTTTGCACAGCATCATGAAAGATGCGAATTAAGCGGCAGGTGGAGGACGAATTTCTAGTCTAATGTTATGAGCAAGCTATTTTATGATTACATAATAAGGTTCCCACCAATCTTCTCAAGGCAGTGTCCCGCGACCTGGACACACACGGCCCTGGCGAGCGCGTCGGCTGATTCGTTTCCAAGAATACCTGCGTGGCCCGGGCACCATCTGATAGCCACTTCGCCAGGCGTCATGCGTTGGACACGTGGCCTCCTTTTCCAGCTTACCGCAAGCCTGCAAAAGAGAAATATTTTTGCGAGGCTAGAAGCTGTGGGCACGTCAGAGCGAAGACGGAGGGCGGCCTCCTGATATCGGGTAGATTTATTTAGACTAAGCTAACCGGTACGTGAGGAGGTTACGTGATGTGCGCGGGCACGACATTAATTTAAATAACTGTTTTACGCGTTGAGCTAGTAAGTTGATAAAATGAGTCTTGACAGCTCGTATCGCAAATGGACTCTATAGCTTGAGTTGCATTTGAGATGATTTTAGTGATTCAGAATGAAGCAAAAAGATGTTAAGATGAGTCGAATCTGAAGGTTGAAAGAAAGTCAGGAAATGAGATTGGTTGAATATTATGTAAGATTATATCGGAATGATTCATCGAGCTAGATTTATTTGGAGTTGTGGATCTTGCATTGCTTGACAGTCTTAATTTGCGTATTCCAATACTCGGATAATGCTCTATCCGAACATAAGGTGGGTAGCAATTTTATAACATCAAAACAAATAATAAGAAGAACATTGGAAACCTATTTACTTTGAAAGATATTTCGACCTATTCACAAGAGTATCCTCATATTGCCATAGCAATAAAGCTGAAAACAATATTTGGGAATGGAGCTACCAAAAGTCACGCATTATTACATAATCTAGCACTAGGCCATGGCATGTGACTTCCAGTGAGTAGGTAGAAACACCAGAACCCTAGCTACCGGAAGAATAACAAAAACTCCACCACTTAACGACTACTACACTACGACGTAAGGAATTAAGGGTGCCCAGAGTATGACTAACACAATATGAAATATAAAAAAGAGTCTTTACATATTTTTAAGTGAACTAATAGGCTTCTAGAGTATGACCTTTGCCATACCAACACAGTACATGGTAATTTGGATAGAAACGTAGCAGGAATGTTATTTTCAAGATTAATTAATTACTACGGTACTGCCTATTTCTTCGAGCAATTTTAGAAGGCTATCTACCGTAGTTATGCGGGTCTCTCTATTTACAACCACGCGGAGGAAAGAGCCCCACTTACCTGAAGCGTAGTCAACCATGAAGCCACGGGGAACCAGCCTCTCAGCCAGACAGCTCGTCATCTGGTCATTAAATTTCTTACTTGTACTGAGACCTGCGCTTCCAGTGTAGTGGAAACAGACCTGTAAACACGGTGGTGGGTTTTCTGAGACAAGGTGAAAATGTGGATTAGCTTCAATTTGAGCTGCCATATAGGCGGCAACCGAGAAAGCGTAGTCAACTTGCTGCTCAAATCCTTCCGTGCCATAATATATCCAGCTCAGCGCGAGCTTGAGACTATCAGCACGCCGGCCACACTGGATGGTAAGTTCGGCTAAATCCCAGACTTCAGACCTGGTTGACTCTGTATGAAAGAGATAATCGGCTGCGATACTGTTAGCTGAGTGAAACCTCTGAAGGTCTGGAGTCAATAAGAATGAACAAGTGACAGGAACACCCATCATTTTGTGAGGGTTGATAGCCAAAGAGTCGGCTAAATGAGTGCCAGACATTTTGTACTTGAGTCGACGGGAGAATATAACGGGACCACCCCAAGAGGCATCCACGTGAAGCCATAAATGGTATTTTTTGCAAACTAATGAAATAGCTTCCACCGGATCATATGAGCCCAAGACTGTCGTACCTGCCGTGGCATTCACATAAAAAGGAGTTCGACCTTCAGCCTTCGCAATTTGAACTAGTCTATCTAGCTCTTCAGGAATCATTCGACCGTCGCTGTCAGCGGGAACAAGGCATACGTTGTCAGAACCGAGGCCACAAATTTGGGCTGCTTTCTCGAGGGAGTAATGTCCATCGGTTGAGGTAAAGATTACCAGCTTTAAATTTGCATTCCCCTCCTTCTTCGTAGACGGGTATAAGCAGTTTCTCGCGATTACAATGGAAGTGGCGTTGGAAGCACTTCCGCTCTGCGTCGAGATACCACCAGAATCAGGACCATCAAAGCCAAATTGAACAGCCAAAGCCTTTGCAGTTAATTTTTCGATAACAGATAGTGCTGGTGAAACTTTGAATACATGAACCTAAAACTTTGGTCAGGTTTCTCGTCGGCCACATGAAGAGAGGAAGACATGGCAAAACAAGAGATGTATGGGGCAATTACGTTTGTATTGAGTATAGCCAAGACCAATTCTGAAACAACACCAACCTAGATTATCTCAGTTTTTGTCTCGGCTGATTGTCTGCAGACATACAGGGTTGGTACCAGCATATAGCTTATCCATGAATCCTTGGTCCCCGGTATTGACACTGTAGTGGAGCACTTGCTCAATAGCCCTTAACAATCCTACTTTTCCCTGGCCTGTGAGGGGCAGACTAAAGTTCATCGTCTCACGTAGAACATCTGGGCTAAGAGATTCGACGAGAGAGGTCCGAACATTTGCGCCGGGAGCCACAGGTACAGAACCTGTCATCGATTTGCAGGCTATACTTTCATCCGCTGATCTGACGAAAGGAATAATTAGGGCTTGAACAGCGTGCAGTAGCTATGTAACGGTCAGTCTTATTCGCCGTTAAAATGTCGAGTGTCTTGAGTCGAAATCGCTCACATCTTCCAGTTCACTTGCGTGGTCTCGTTGGCCTTGAGGTTCTCTTGACGCGTGATGGTTGGACTCCATGGTGATTTGGAATTCTCGTTATAGATAGAATATGGAGTTTGAAACCTGATGATTGAACCTACCAGCGAGCTGGCTTTGGTAGTTCCAGAGTCGATTCACCGAAAGTGTTGATACTTTTTTTCGTTTCGATTCCAATCTACAAACGGTTCTGGTCGTTGCCTCGCACACGATAGTTATGCCGAGTGTCTACCAGTGAGTTGACATTCTCTCAATATATAAATTTATCAAATAAGTGGTTCCTTAAACCCATGTTAGAAGAGATCATCGCCGCTTATGCGAGTGGCGACAATAAAGTAGAAACTATACTTCTTATTAGCTATTCCGCATCGCTATCTTACTTTGGCTTTCCCCTCCTTCTAGACTAGCTCGCAAGAGCCACATAACATTGAAGTGGAATCCAATTGCACCAAGTGTTGTCCGCCGCTTCAAAGTTGGGCCTACGGCATGATTCCAAAACTGCCGCTATCATGGATTCGAATCCTCAATTTAATCTCCACATCTCTCGCCCTTTAATTACCAGCCTTTTAGTTGCAGGAGCAATGATAATTACCTCTCACATTATTTCCATCTCTTACACCATTCTATGTCTTGTATCCCAATATGTTCTAGATTTACAGTAGTGACAAAATTTTACATATCGTACCTGATATTGTAAAACTGGGCAATGGATTAGCGGCGCTATGCTTATCTGTTACCCCTGTTCAGGTGTACTTGACATAGACTCGCAGAGCGAATCCTTTCAAGCACTTCCTGGAGATAACGGTAGCTGCTTATCGGTGAAATTTGCATGCCCCCAAGGTACGACATACTCTAGTTCGTATGGGGCACGCGTAGGGCTGACCAGGTCACATAAACGACCTAATTCGGGTGTTATTGGCTTCTCCAGGTCGAAGAGTAAGGAGAATTAAAACTGTACACACTGGATCCAGAGATCATTGGAGACAATAACTTCCCGTGCGCAGTGGCCACACTGTCCGCTCGTCGTGATAAGACGTTTGGAAGGCACGCAAAGTCAGCGACGATGACGTAAACATATTTGCAAGACATGGTTCTTAGCCCTCATCTCTTAAGGTTCTTTTATTAATTGGCCAAACAAATAGGCCAACACTTGCATTCGTACAGCATGCACCCGCGGTTGTCAGAACTTAATTATCTCAACGTACTTCGCCCGAGTGGAGAAAGCTCCAACTTCTATGTCCTGCACAGCGCCAGAATCTAAATTTCTAAGTATCGGCTGATCAAACCTAAGATAAGATAAGAATCTTAAAGTCACCTCTCAGTTTAAGACTGAGGAGGATTGGTCAAAGCTAAACTGCTATGGGAAGCTCGTTAAAGTGTCGGAGAAGCTTACTGCCTTACCAAGACCTGCAGAAACTCTAGCCGTCGACAGCTTCTTGACGTATTTTAAACCGATTCATGATCAAATGCCAGGCTCATTCTCTGCGCCATTTAGAAAATTCAGATAACTTGACTCACGCCATTCCTCTTATATCACAGTTCGCGCATTAATTACCTGTTTCAAGAAACCTAGCAGCCAGTATGAGCTTGACTTTCGATAAAAATAATAACCTGATAATCATGTGCTTCTCAAACACTTTTCGTCTTACGACTCGACAATAAGGGGAAAGTTTAAGACGCAACCTGGTTAGCGTTCAAGCGCCAGACAGACAATGTTACGGGTACTGGACACTTCACCAATGTGCCTGATTACTCTTATGGAGCTACGTTTCATCTGCTTAAAATGCTAGAGAGAAGGGATCTATTACTCCCAAGTGTAAACATTCATCAAGATACAAATATCACCTCGCGCCACCACTAGATTAGACTATCATTCACAGACTTTCTATCTCGCTCACTCAAATTCACTTACGCACTTTCCTTTTTCATACTCCTCACTGCCGGTCAGTCATTCTTTAAATTTGATCAGTTTAGCCTTCAAATCGACCAATACCTTATATTACAAACAATAAAATGCAAATCAATATCATTGCGATTATTTCTCTAGTGTCTTTGGCCCTAGCTCTACCACGGAATCTAAACAGTGAGTTTATACCTTCTCATTTCAGATTTTTCTATGAGAGAACCACTTTCAACCTCTGGTATCTTTGGGGATGAATCAAACTTACAAATAATTTAGCACGTGAAGTTGAGACCTCAACAGCATCCATGACCAACTCGGCTGGTGAAGTTGTGCCTTACGATTCCACTGGAGTTGTGACACGAAGCCGTAAGTGCCTTAACTTTTCAAGCATATAAATTCTTTCCATAGACTTACATGTGAAACTTAGTTCCAAACGAAAGGGTCGTAACCCCAGCAGATGGATAGGTTCATAATTACTCTTGTCATGAATGGCTCTTTTTGTCTAGTTGGTGAAATTGCACTCCTATAGTCGGATCTGCTCGCTACGAACATGAAACTGCTCACGATGGTCTAATGTTAGCGAGGAATAGAATACAGGAATATCAGACATGTATGCTAAACATCAGTTATCCTTCATTTGTTTTTTTCCTCTGTTGCCTAGCTCGATACCCATGTGAGTTGGTAGGATATTTAATATTCAAAGTCCTAGACAGTGAATCTTGTCGTCCCATAAATTATTCTGCGTACGTATTACGGCTAAGCTTGGCTCGAGATTTGAGTAGTATGTTCTTGTAGAAATTAAGAAGCAAAGTATCTCTTGACTTCCGCAAGCATAAAATTTCTTCAATAAATTACAACTGAACAACTGCACGGGTAAGCAAAACTGTTACAGAATTAAAATTAAATATCATCAACCTCACTGAATCACTTTTCAATCTTTGTTGGAAATCTAGACTTAGCAGGTATGAAGGTTTAGATTTCTAAGTATGATCATCAAGATCAATTGAGTAGATTCGATTGAAAATGATTAAGCTCATTTAGGCGAAATAAGGTTCAGTGGCTAGGAAATGCTATCTTGTTGATAATTGAGTGGCTGGTTGTTGTTAGATCACTGGGAGTTCGGGATCACGAAAGCCTCGGGGATCTGTATTTAATGATAGACTCATCTGTATATGTAAACTAAGTTGACGGAGTATTATATATTATTAATTTATATTGAGAAGAGAGTTCGATATCACATACAACTATCAATAAATTCTTGTCCGAAAATTTTCACTTGTTCTTCAAGATATTTCCTCCTAGAAATCCTTGTCAATTGCTAACAATCTTGAATTCGGTTTGGGGCAAAATGATTTGTTATAATCGTAAAATTAGATTCGATATCTGATCATGGTTTTAAATCTGAGCTTGACCTTCCAGGTCGGTATCTGCAATCTCTAGACCCAAGGAGCCTCTGTAATACTCAAGCTCTCAAATCACTCTAGGGACAAGACCCGACACTCGTGCCATCTGTGGACTAGAGAGGTGTGTTTATTGTCCTACTTGAGTCTTAGACTATCTAGCACATTGGGCTCCTCTCTGACCCAGGCCACACCTTGTACACAGTGCTCCTTGCCTCTTTTATTGCTTGAAAGATCATTGATGTATTGCCTGTGATGAAAGGCCATTCAGCTCATTGTTTACCCTTGTAATCTTCCACCCTCAAAAAGGTAGCATTAGAGGCTGCGTGCGCGGGAAAAGTCTCAAGAAAGCTGCTGCCCCAGCCAGGCGAGGAACTTTGGACTAGAGTGGTTGTTTATTGTCATAAAAAGTCTATAACTATGTAAGGACATGTAGGTCCTTTCTGCCCACAGGTCAGGAGTAACCATGCCTCGGGTAGTGTACTCCCTCCTTTGCCTCCCTCACGACTGCTTTCCAGCAGTAATAATCCCACAGGTCTTCATTCGAGTACACACTAAGAGGAGCCGTTATCCCGTCATTATCTCCCCTCTCCAGCCAACGAAACGATGGCCATTTGCGGGTGTGTAGCTGCAGGGAAAAGTCACAAAAACCACTGGGTGCGGGGCTCTCCTGTGACAATAGGGGCCGGCCAGCCGGGCGCAGAATACCTGTGTATACCTAGGAGTGTCTCTCAACCTTCCTAGCCTCCTCCTTTCTCTTCACCTGATTTATGCCGTTGGACAAATTGTAGCTCGTGAAAGGACGTCAGAAAAGTCTTGGTCGAGAGTGAAAGTCGTGAAGGAGCCTAGCCTTGCATCCAATAGTCGTTACGGACGTGGGGTCGGCGAGTAACTCATGTATTTCAGATGCCCTCCTGGCTTGTAGATTCGGAGGTATAGATTAGTAGAGACGATGTTTTTGACGAGTCGAAATCTGCTTTTCTTGAGGGTGGAAGGGTCTTTTACCTTGCTTTCGTGGGCTTTTTGTTCGCCCGCCGGTGGGTAGCACATGTTGTGATATAACAAAGGCTTTTCTGACTACCGTTTTAGCTTTTGGTACCGCATTAACTCTCCTCATTCCCAGCATCGTTATCATCGTCTTAGTCGTCTTAGGTGTCATCGGAAGCGTATCTTTGACGGAGGGGGAGATAACTCAGCTCAAAGTTGATAAGGTGTTACTCAACCTTGGCTCTGCAGACTCTACATTAAGAGCTGGAGGTTCGCAGGGGACACCACTGACAGGTGCTGCAAATAGTCCCCCAGCTGTGGACAAGAGAAATGTTGGTAGAAATTGTGAAAATTCCCACTCGCTTACTTTGCAGGATGCACAGGGAATAATTGACAACGGCCCAAGGTATTAATGGCCTAACAAAGGGTTAGTCCCTCTAGTTCTATTTTTGGAGGTGGTCGGCTATTTCTATTGTTTTGTTTGTTCATTAGCGTGCTAGGTGAAGTAACTTCCGTCGCACTCCTACTGGAGCTTGAGCACGAGTGGAGTCGGGCCGGATCAGGTTAACTACCGTACAGTACAAATGCCTCGTCCCACCTAAATGACCGGAACCATGCCAAAATGCATCTATGTGTTGAACCATGACGAATTCAGCAGCCCAGAATTGAAAACAAAACAAAAACTTTCACGCGAAGTCCCGCATTACAGAAGAAAAACTTCAACAATCTCCCTTCCACCATGCGCCTGAGCCTCGAATCCTATCCCTCTGTCCATGCCAAACCACCTAGGCCTTTGATCTATCACCTCCGTGTCACAGGTATCCCTGCCATCGGCTGTTTCTTTTGTTGTCATGCGTGTCAGGTCCTTGACAGCCTAAGTCGTGTGGGGTCTAGGCGAGCTTTTGAGTTGAGAGATGGAGGCGAGCCGAGGCGCAAAATATTCTGGGCATCGCACGTGGATTGACTGATTTACACTTATCGCCATGGCACACGGGATAAGACCGACCTCTGAGCCCTTCAAAGAGCGTTCAGTCCGCCCGGGTAGCTCCAGGCCGGCAGGCGCTTTTATCATCTTGTTAACTACCCTACTATTCTACACCAGCAGCTTGTCGCTTAATTGAGCCTGTGGCAGCTAGTGCTTGTTCGTTCTTGTGTGTCCTATAGCACTCATAGCCTGGTTTTATTTTATTTTTATTAGAACCCGCTACAATCATCCAGAAGCCCCCCTGCATCGCATGTGCATTGACAGAGCCGGGCCTTAGGTTTAGGGAGCTTATCTCACGTGATATGGTATACATATATGTTACCCTGTCGGCCCATTCTTCTTTCCTGCCACTAATCCCTGCTCACCTAGTCCTGCAGCGAAGGTTTTGAGTCTTCGAACCATGTCAGTGGGAGCCCCCGGTCAAAACTCGAGCCCGCATTGGCGACTTAGCTGAGCCAGGAAGCCTCTCCACTGTGAATGGGACCCTATTTGTCACTTCCACTACGTTTTTTTCGTGGCACCCTTGGAGATCAGGACGACACTAATGCCACGATGCAGGGAGACAACTGCAGCAGGAGTCACTACAGCGCATTCTGACGACAGTTGGTGACGACATATTTTTCTCACATACAAGCTATCCATTAGCAGATGGACGAAGCAGTCTCGAAAGCAGTAATGGCAGTTACTCTAACTCCTTTATGAGTAATCGATTCGTAACCTCACCAAATTACGCTTTTCCATGAGGCATCCTCTCTCTACATGCGTTACCATACCGCTCAATTCTTACGATAACATCAGAAAGTTTGCCTGAACTATTTGTCCATTTAGGCTTGACACCAAGACCCTTACTCTAGCTCTGGTTCGGAAATGGACTGTGAATTGAGAAAAGAAATCACTGACATGAAAATGGGAAGCAGTTCTAGAAACGTCTGCTGCATCTAGTAATCGTATTAGAAAAGTTACAGCAGTGGCACATCCGCATTTATCTACCGTTGGGACTATTTGAAAAGTGGGTCTTGATAAGCTGCTGTCGCCCAAGAGTACACTATCGAAGCAAAATATGTGGGAATGTTGTGATAGAGCTAATTGCATGGGAGGAGCAAAGTAAGAAACAGAATGAGTTAGGTTTAAAAACCCCAGGCCTAGAGTTAGGCAATGTTACACCTCGAACACATTCTTGGACTTAGAGATTTATCCATGTGGCAATAATCCGATAGCCTCCAAGGAAATGCGAACCAGCTAGTTTTTTGTCATCATCCTGTCGGCTTCACCGGGCTGAGAATGAAATGAGGTCTGGAGTAATTAAACTGGGATCCTTGAGCCCTGGCAGATGGTGCTATATGCGCTCGGAAAATTATCGGCTATCCCCGTTTCTGTTTCACTGTTAACTTATATCGACGAGCATTCATGTAAGGATGTTTGTGCAGCGTCGGATTACCAAAGCACACGACCGTCGACCGGTCAATGAAAAGCGCCGAAATAGTTGGTCAGGGGCTGGATTTATTCAGACTTTCCCTGCTGCAACGAAGAAAGTTACCTAATCCTGTAACCTCGACACGGATACTCGGCCCGGCGCCAAGAGAGCCAGGTGAATAGACTATTCGCTACCTAGCTAGCCGCAGGCTTCCATGACGACACAAAGGCCAAAAATCCTAGATGCATCTCATCAGCGAGGTCTAAAGTTAAATTGGTTGCAAGCCAAACAGAGCTACTAGTTAAACAACCCTTCGCTTTGTAGCCCGTTCTAGAGCTAGTTAACATTTGGCAAAGGCAAAGATTGTTGATCCTAATGATGATCTAGCTGGTAAGCAATGTCCAACCTCGAGGAAATATCCCTTGTTCCGACTGGACTTATACATTCGTAATCGCTATTACGTTACGCCTCTATGTATTTCTTTCGTCTACCTGGCTTTCCTTACAACCACGGCCCCATCCCTGAGGGGACATGATGATTATATGTAACATCTCTAGAATAACGGCATGGCAGGTAGTGGCGTTACATAATTTACTCGGTAGTGCGCTGCCTGGTTTGAAGCACACATGACCGCGAGTTACCCTCACAACGAGCTACTAAACGCCAAGTCCACGTCGCAGTCATGAGTAGACGGAACACACCAGAAAGAGAGGTCAAACCCCAGATAAAGTGTACAAAACAAGGGCTATAGAATTGATGTCACCCTGTGCCAAACTCCTGCTAAAATAACTTACTCGCGCCTCAGTTCATGCCCTGCTATAACGTGCTAGCTTAAGTAACACCTATACGCCCCCAGCCCCGGCCCCAAAAATAACCATCAAACAGCGCAGCCAAATCGTGAGCACCAGCGATGTTTCTCGTGTTTCTTCTGTTTTTCGTCGATACTCGTAGCTCTCTCCTCGTTCCAACCCTTCAAGGCGCGATACAGACGAGTCTTCACAAGTGGGGCACCTCCTTCCGACCTCGCCTTCGAACAGACATCAGAGCTTTGTTGTAGATCTCGTTTTGGCCATCCGAGGCGGTACCGACTTGTTTTGAAGATAGTTTCTTTCTGTATGAAGTCGGAGGTCGAAGTGTCCTGGCTACACTCACTTCCACTCCGCTCACGTTGTTTGGGGTTCCAGGCATATAGGTGGTCGATTTTCTGAGAGCGTCTCGTCGCCATGACATTGCGAACGACGAGTTCGAAGACCTTTTCAATATTGAGCATATCTTTGGCACTTGTCTCCATAAAGCCGCAGCCACGGGCTCTAGCCCACTCTAGGCCTGTCTGGGTTAGGACTTCACGATTTTCTGGTCTATCACACTTGTTGGCAGCGAGAATTTTAACCGGTTTCTGGCTACTGGAGCGCTTTTGGCCTTCCTGATCAATGAGAGAATTGAATTCTTCCAAGGCATCGAGACTTTGATGTCGCGTGATATCGTATACGAGGAGGAAGGCGTCGCTGTTTAGATTTGATGCCGTCCACATATCGCGATATTCTTCTTGACCGGCCGTGTCCGTGATGGCAAGCCGATAGGCTTCGCCATCAATTTGCCGCGTGACGCTGTACGAGTCTTCTATAGTTGGATCGTAGTTGCTGATCCACTGGGAGCGGACTAGGCGAAGCGTGATGCTCGATTTACCCGTGCCGCCATCACCACAAATGGTGATGGTGAGATTGTGTGGGCCGTCCATGGCGCGAGTGTGTGCGGAGAGCTGTTTGAAGGTAATGGAGGTTAAAGAACGGTTTGGTAGCAGGCGCGGACTAAGCTCTCGGCCTAGCCTGTGCTGTGCTGTGCTGTTGGATTTGAGTGCGCTTGTTTCCGGTGCCAGTGCCGGTAGAAGTTGGGTGACGGATTTGTAGCTGCAGGCAGATGGGGGCCAAAACGGCGCAGGGCTTGCTCGAGGATGTTGAATGAGGTAGATGCGCGCTGGCGGATGAAGGTTATATCGGTGGCAGCCAGCTGCGGGAGCGAGCTCTAGAGGCAAGGCAATGTTTCGCCGGGTTTCAGGAGAATTGGTTATGGTGCTAGTGCAGCGGTTCAGCGTGACTCTGGCCCATCTCGTCTGGCCGCGCCGAAATGCAAGTCTCGCAGCTTTGTTTTTCCCCGACCGGCTGGTGGGTGTCGCAGAGGAGTCATGAAAGCCTTCCCTCTGCAGCACGGCGAATTCTGGCATGCGAGCATGAGCCCTGCATTTGCTACGAGATGTCCCGATGATCGTCGCCGCCTGCAACGTTGTTGCGCCGGGGAGATAGCACCTCGGAAGCCCAGGATGGTCAAATGACACGAGCGCGGCCGCGGCCGCGGCTAAGCCTGATGATACCGCCCCGACGGAGGAGGTGGGAGAGTGCGATGTCGTCTCCTGCGGGGAGGAGGAGTGTCGGAGAAGTACGAGCTGACGACCTTTCGCCGGCACGAAGTCTCCTCATCATTGCGCCTGAATGCGGTCACGAGGAGGCCGGCGCCTACGCTGACCAGGATAACCGTGTGCACTTCAAAATGCATGAAGAAGGTCGCGCCGTAATGGCCCCAGACACGTAGTATGGCGATCTTCGCGGCAAGCTGCCCAAGCTGGTTGAATGCTCACAGCCTCGCGCACAGCCTGATTCGCGTCAAAGCTCCGCTGCAGAGCCCAGCAGCCGCCTCATGCATTTTCTGTGCATTAAGTCGCGGAAGCCGCCTTACCTACACCAGTCTCCCTGGCATCTCCTCCTATTACCTGATCCTATTCCGTCCACCCGCTTGGCCGTTTCCCCTGCATCAGCTGCACCCATCACGTGCCGGGACAGTACTGCAGCACCAAGGGCTCCCCGATTGATGAACCGCTCGTCGGCACCATTCTAATTATTACAAATAAATCGATGAATCGGTGGTACGCCAAAGCACAGCGCTCTATCGAGGGACTATTCTCAACACCTGTCAGTGGTGTCCCCTACAAACCTCCAGCTCGAGTGCAGGCGACACTCTAAACACCGCCATGGTTGGATTGTGCGGTGGTACATCTTCTTGTCCATTCTGCCAAGTAGAGTCTGGATAGCTTGGACACACATCCCACTCGAGACAGTAGATCGCTGGTTCAAATCCGGCAAAACACAACCACATTTCTCGCGGCGCTGGTATACACGGATGACGAAGGTATGCTTGGATAATCAAAGGTTTTGACTTTCCCTTTGGTGGGTACTCACGGAGGAGGGTCGACAGTTTGTGTAAGTGAACATACCTCATAGTGGTATTTGCGAATGAAATTCAGAGTATGAGTGTTTCTAACGTCAAAAGAGTCATCCCACATGTATATACAGTACCGGTCATGTGTCATGTATCATAGCTAGATAGCTGAGTACACATTAAATGATTTTTAAAAAAAATAACCTCCAGCTCTCACTGTAGAGTTTGCAGAGCCGAGATTGATTAATAAAGTCTTCATTTCCATGAGGATTCCCATTCGCTTTCGCGGTCTATATCTTCTTCATCTCTCAACAGATCCCCGTTTCACCATTACCATGAAGCTTACCACGAGTAGATCAGATTTCAGAGTCTAAGCCTTTCTCATCACCAACCCTTGATTATGGAGGAGAAGCCATACGATTAGTTTTCGGATTGTAACCGCCACTCGATACGGAGATGGTGGATTGGATCAAGTCGGCCTCGACTGTTACAGAGAAGGGAGATATAGATGAATATGCGCACCTCATGTGGTCCCGGTGTCTAGGCCTCGGCTGGCTGGGGCTGCAGGTTTTTTTTGAGACTTTTTCCCGCGCACGCAGTTTCCATTGCTACCATTTTTTGGGAGGAAAAGATTCCACGGGTAAACACTGAGCTGAATGGCTATTCATCACGGAATACAAATCAATGATCTTTTAAGCAACAAAAGAGGCAAGGAGCACTACAGAAGGTGTGGCCTGATCCAGAGAGGAGCCTGACGTATTAGATACTCATAAACTGAAATAGCAGAATTATACCACACTCACATAGCGCCCTGTCGCGCTCAAGACTCTTCTGACGTGTTGATGTGCAAGTGACTGTCATCTAGCAATATTCAGTTTACGCACTGTGATGTCAACGCGGAGACAAACCCCAGCCAAATCTTAGTTATTTGGTCCAAAAGTGAAATTGTAGCTCACAATCTAACTCGAAGAAGTTTTATCACAAATAGACAACATACTCTCCCTGTGATTTGTGATCTATCCAGGCGCGTAGCTTCTCTCGCCCGAGGACTCATCGTCGTCTTCGAATCACCATTAGTCAGCCACTGCACATCAGAATACAGCCTGAATAGTGATAAGGTGCAACACAACGTAAATGGGAGATTTCTACACTCGTCCAGTTTACCATGTTACTTCTGGGGCAAGACTCTCATCATCTATTAGCGAATATTAAGCATATCAATATCCAATTTTTACTATCAACTTCTAAGCTATTTAGACAGTTTTAGCTGTCCTTCATAGTCATAGGCTCAGCTGGAACACTAATCAAATTCTAATTAATGTCATTTCCTGTGCAGTGCGCTGATAGTAGGCCCTCGCTTTCTTGCCTCCAGGGCAAATTTCGGTATGATTAGACGCTGTTCAATCTGCGAACCTTCCTTCTAGTGGTGCCGGTGTAATCGCTCAGAATGGTCTGCATATCTGGGAAAGCCAAGAAGAATCGCAACGGAATCAAAGTTGATAGCAACCTCAAGCATACCTCTATTTGAAGACTTCTCAATTATGCAGCACTCACCATTCTCATCTGAGTCCTCATCCTCTTTCTAACCACGCATCATCTCGCCTCAACGACCAATAAAAGAGTTTCTCCATTAATTACCAGCCATCTCCGACTACATATTTACGACGCGATTTATACTCACAAGGGGTAAATAAAGTCGAAAAATACAAATACAAATCCTGTGTCCTGGCTTGTGGGGGACTGTTGCTCTAATGGGACAAACAACTTGAGGGAGAACAGGCGGCTGATATATGGAGCGAGAGGGGGAACAGGTCTCTAGAGACCATGCTGGGTCTAATATTTTCGAGGAGTTTTCGGCTTTAGAGTGTTTGTGGGCGCCAAGACCAAGGCTTGGGCTGATTAGCCAAGAGGACTTCTTTTGTCGGCGAGTCAACGGCACTCCCCAGAGCTCTGGACGGCACAAAAGAAGTTGGGCTAAGCTACCGTACAGCAATCACGCTCTGTCAAGACTTTTCTGACATTTCAGCAAGACCTTCGGGAAGGAATTGGAAGGGGGCTAGAAAGGCAGAGTGTAAATTCTGCGAAGTCCCCCCAAGTCTGCAGCACCCAGCTGACCGGCCTCCTCGAACGCTTAAGAAGGATCACTATGTCTTCGGATCTACTCCTAATGTCGGTATCAGGAGAACCCCACAACTAGTGGATTTTTCAATTTTTCCCGGCTGCAATACACCGACATTTGGCCATCGTTTTGTTGGCTGGAGAGGGGAATTATTGAAGGACAAAGGGCTCTTCTAAGTGTATGATCGAATAAGGATTTGTGAGGGGTGGTACTGTTTGAAGGGAGCTGTATGGGAGGTATAGGAGGGGATATGCTACTGGTATAGGTATCCTTGGTCTATAGGCAGAGAGGACCTGCATGTCCTACATAGTCATAGACTCAGAAAGAACAATAAAATGAATTAATTAATAATCTGCGGACCTTGTGGTGAGCAGTTATTATATCTCACGTGATGGAGCACGGGAGCGTTGTAATAGAGGGCATAGCCCACTCGCCAAATCAAAGTGATTACGGGCACACGTAGAACTGTAACACATTCTCAGTAGATAGACATAAGAAGTAATTATCATCAAATAATTGAATCAACTTCCACACAATCGATACCCATAGAGTGCAGACGACACTCTAAACACCGCCATGGTTGGATTATGCGGTGGTACATCTTCTTTTCCATTATGCCAAGTAGAGTCTGGATAGCTTGGACACATATCCCACTCGAGACAGTAGATCGCTGGTTCAAATCCGGCAAAACACAACCACATTTCTCGCGGCGCTGGTATACATGGATGACGAAGGTATGCTTGGATAACCAAAGGTTTTGAAACGTCCATTTGGTGGGTACTTGCGGAGGATGGTCGACTGTTTACGAATGCAAGCATACCTCATAGTGGCATCTGCGAATGAAATCCAGAGTATCAGTGTTTCTAACGTCAAAAGAGTCATCCCACATGTATGTACAGTACCGATCACGTGTCATAGCTCCATAGCTCCATGGTTGAATACACTTAAATGATATTTAAAAAAATAAAATCGAGACCCCTAGAAACGGCTAACTTTCATTCAACCCTCAAATGTATCGTCGCAATCGCATCTGTAACGAGCCAACACGGCATTCCAGAAAACACTCTTTAACTGCGATAAGCTAAGCCGCCAGGTCTAGCAAACAAATTACAATAAATTCCATGACTAGTACGAGAAGAGGCCAGAATTCGCGCTGGGAAGGAAAGCTAGCCGATTTGCCTGAATCTAATACAGGTGCACATAGCGCTGCAGAGAGCCAGGCAGCTTTGGGATTTGTGACTCTACGGCCGCTTGTTTCAACCAGCGTGTCATGCCAGTGTCTGCGTCAATCACGCTATGCTACCCATGGCGAAGTCACGAGGTCACGGCTCTCTCTATTATTCAGCGACGATTAGCGTCTGAGAATGTGGGGCTTCGTAGACGCAGAGCCTGCGCCACCAATGCTCGCG